CACCAGCTATAATCGAACCGTTGACCTCGTCTGTGGAGGATTAGGCGCCTAGACCACTAGGCTATGGGACCCTAACCTATATTATTTAATTGAGTTGATTTAAGTCTAAGATATTCACAATAATATAGCTTTTTTTTAGATATAAAATTATACTACCAGATAAATATGAGATTATGCGCATCTTTTTCAGTATTTTCAACTTTGAGTAATAAATATATCTAAAATTAAAAATTCAATATTTAATATTTAATATTTTAAAAATTTTAAATACAACAAATACTTGTCTATCATCAGCAAAATTTATATATAGATATATATCGATATTAATCACCCCTGTCGATTCTAATCGTTTTAAAAAGTAATCGATATCTATTCAGTTTATAGCTATTGATAATAATCAATAGTGATTTGAATCAATAATTATCTGGGTTTATAGCTATCGATAGTAATCGATATTAATTTGAATCAATAAATAACTATATAAAAATTAAACGCATGATTAAGATTAACTCTAATTTATTAAAAGTTTTAAATAAATATATATATTATAAATAATAAATTTAAAAGCAAACTATCAATTAATTCAATATTAATGCAATCTCATTTTTATTAGCATTGTTATTAAATATAAGCAATACAATTAGAAAACACTAATTAATCTGCAATTAGCTAATATAAAACTCTATACTGGTATTAAGAAAAAAAAAAATAAAAAAATAAAAAAATAAAAAGAAAAAAGAAAAAAATAAAAATAATAAAAAAAATAATAAAAAAAAAAAATAAACACCCAATCCATCACTATTCATAGACTCCAAACGCTTCATCTATTTTCTCTTCCGAATATTGCATTGAGGAGCCCAATCATAATAATGGTTCAGGTATGTAATCGGTTTGAGGAGAGTTTATTCGAAACCTATATTCATTAGCCTCTAGCTCTTTATCTATTATTGCTTCGGCAGAACCATAAGAGGAACCGCCACTATTGTAATCACTCTACAATATAAAGCCCATTAATTTTGTGTTGATATAAAGCGATATATGACAAACACTTACCAAAAACTTTTTTATGCGACATTTCATACGTTTCTCCATATATTTGACACTTCGTGATCGAGGGTTTAGGATTATATCGCACACAGCCAACATAAACGCACAGTAATAGTGGGTCAAGATAGGTATCGCAACTGTAAAGAAGGCATTTCTTGCAATCAAATCAATTCAGTAGGTGCCACTTTTATTTTGTACAAAAAGTGAGTGGAAGCAATTGACAACCTCAGCATTTTGCTTCCACCTCACAATCTTGGACGCACCAGCGTTACTTTTTAATAAGTGAGCTTTTCAACTCCAAAAACCTTCCAAATTGAATTTCTAACGTTTTGGAACGCCATAGCCCAGTAATTTTTCATTTTTGCCAGCAACTGGTAAAATAAAATAATGAATGTTATTGTTATAAAAGTATAAATAAAATCAAATAAATATTAAAAAAAAAATAATTAAATGATATGTATAAGATATTGGTTATACAATGATTAATATTATGAAATTTGGTTTGTCAGAGCAAATGGTTGGCTGACATGTGCCGCTGCGTGGTACATGTCAGCCAACCATTTGCTCTGACAAACCAAATTTCATGATATTAATCATTGTATGACCAATATCTTATACATAATAAATATGAGAAATCAACATACTCTACTGAGCCATTCTGTATGAAAACGGTTTGTGAATTCATTAGCACTAATGTTAAATTTGACATATTTGTTGTCTAGATAGTCCTTCAAGGACTCTTTGATTATTTGTTAAGATGGATATAAATTTTGCGGAAATAAATATTTTACCATATTTGTATATATATCCTATAATTTAAATTGTATAGTTTAGCACTTGCCCATAGCTTATAGTTAAATAAAGCAAAGCCAGAGCCACTTACATCCAGTACTTGAGAGGAAATATCATTTTCTTTTTTTTTTCTTTGCCGCTTTAATTCGTCTTTGATCTCTTTTACATCTCAGCGAAGCTTCTTCATTAACAGATACAAGTATCTGTTTTGTTTGAGTATCTCTTATTCATTACCTGCATTATTAAGTTAACTACCATGAGGGCGATCTTCAATGAAAAAGGAGAGAAAAAAAAAAAAATTTTTAAAAAAAAAAAAAAAATTGTTTTTATTCAAAAGCATTCAAAATAAAAAAAATACATTCAAATTAAAAAATACTTAAAATATTTATCATTTTGTTTGTGTGTTTGGTTTTGATTGGTTGATTTCTCACGTGATTGACCTTGTTGTGGAAATAGGGATCGATTTCTATTTTCTGAAGAAGAATGGTGAGAACGTTGAGATCGAGATAGCTATCGAAATTGAGATGGCTGTCAAGATTGAGATAGTTGTCGAGATTGAGATAGTTGTTGTTGAGATTAAGATAGTTGTCAAGATTGAGATGATTGTTGTTGATTATTTTTCATTCTTGAAAAATACTATAAATACTTGCAATAGAATCTGAAGAATTATAATCAAAATAATTATTATTATCGAGAGTAGAAGGGTTAGCGATATTATCAGAATTAATAGAAGAGTTAGTAATATATATTGAAATATCAGCATTAGTTGTTTCGGTATTGGATGTTTTAGAAGGGTTAGCGGTATTAGATATTGTATTAGTAGATAAGTTGTTCGAGTTGTTTGATATTTTCAAAAATGAAAAAAAAATTATTTATCTTCAAATGACAAAAATCTGTTATTTTATATATTTGTATATTAATTAAATCTAATGACAGTAATCGTATATAAAAAAAATTTAATAAAGTTATCGTCATGTAAAAAATGAAAATACTTATTTTCGTTTTGTCATTATACTTGTACATGGGATTTATCGCATGTTATTATAGGATTTCTGGGCTGAAAATCACTGTTGATCTAATTCTGAAGCCAAAACATTAAATTTCTTTAAACTTCTAGTAATGATTTCTCAATAACTATTCGATTAAATTTAGTAAATCATTTTATTTTGATTCTATATATTTGTAAAATTAAAATAAACAAAATTTCATTGAATTTGATTTAGTGGTTATCGAGAAACCTTTGCTAGAAGTTTTGAAAAAGCTTGAAATATCTTGAAAAAAAAAATCTAAAATCGGCAAAATTTTTCTTTTTGAAATTATAAACGATGATTTCTCAACACCCATTTATCAAAATTCAATGGAATTTTTTTATTTTGATTCTGCAAGTATGAGGGATTAAAAAAAAACAAACTTTTTTTACCAAATTTTAATAGAAAAATGTTGAGAAATATTGATTAAAAGCTAAAAAAAAGTTTGGCTGCAGCTTTTTTATTTTGGATATCTAAACTTTAAACAAAGATAACTTAGCATTTATCTGCACTCAAGTTTTTTTTATTTTAATTCTATCAGATTATAGAATTAAAATAAGAAATTTGATTGAATAAAATCAGATAAGCACTGAGTAATTTTCGTTTAAATTTTAGATATCTGTAAAAAAAAAGCTGTGGCCAAATTTTTTTTTAACTTTTAATTGTTATTTCTTAATATCTGTCTATTCAATTTCAGTTAATTTTTTTTATTTTAATCTTGTAAACTTGCAGAATCAAACCAAAAAAAAATTTTATTGAAATTGGATAGATGATTGTTGAGCAATTATCAATTAAAGTTTAAATAAATAAATTTATTGCAACTTTCTTAAATTTTTTAACAAATCTTTAAACGATGTTTTCTCAACACCTATATATTCAAATTCAATAAATTTTTTTTATTATGATTCTGCAAGTATGTAGAATTAAAATAAAAAAAATTTACTGAAATTAAATAGACAGGTGTTGAGAAATATCGATTAAAAGCTAGAAAAAAATTTGGCTAGACCAAAATAGTTTAAACTGATTTATATTGATAATGCGATTAATATCAATAATATTTGATTTAAACCAATATTCTTCTAAATACTAGACTCTAATATTATCGATATTGCTTTATTACTATCATTTTTCTATTTCTTCATCTTTATTTTCTTTTCTTCTCTTTTTTTTGGAGTTTATCTTTTTCTCTCAAAATGTATTGGTAGTGTGAGCATTGCAATAGAGAATTTTCAAAATCACACGCATTAACTCAACATGTTTCACAAAAACATCCTCACCTTCAAAGTTCCTCAAATTAGAAAGTTTCCAATGAACAAGTAGATAATGATATTTGGAATCTTCCAGAAGATTATCCTAATTATGATTTTTCAGAATATGAGATAAATAGTTAATTATCTTCTTATTAATATAGTAAATGATATTAATTGATTATTTTTATATAGAGCGAATATATGGAAAAATCTAAAAGCTCAGTTAAGCATACGTATTCTTTCATGAAAGCAGAACTTCATCAAATAGATAATATAACTAAAGACAATGCATTTCAAAATATATCTAATGTAAATAATATCAAAGACTATAAAGATATATCATTTGCAACTGAGTCATATGAAATAGGCCTTGAAAACTACAAAGAGGCCTCATTTGATGAAGCTTTTCAGGACTTGTATCACTCACAAACTATCAAATAGCCTAACGATACATATTGTGAATTTATGAAGATTATTAATAAATATCAGCTGTTAAATTCAGCTAGTGATGCTTTTATAACCTTCTTCAATAAATTCTCGAATTTGGATACTTTTCCACTTCTATCATTAACAAAGACAGGAAAGGAATTTCTTGATAATACTACCGTTCCTTATATGATGTTTAAGGAAGTTCTTGTTAAAACGTTTCAAAACGTTGAATATGTATTTTACTATCAATCATTAATAAAGACTATAAAGTTTTTATTAATGATTGATAGTATTAATCAGTCACTGGTCCTTCAATATAAAGATAAAAAGAAGTAAGAAATGGTGTAGAGTGTAGAATCTTCGGAGAACAATATCAAAGTAATTGGTGAAAGTGAAAAAAATCAGATTTACTCCTTGGGCAGCATTTGCTGTCATTTATACATTATTTAGATATGACAATCCTGAACCACATGGGAAAATCTTCTGGGTATCCCATGTTTTTATTGCTTGGAAACATTCCCAATCACCAAAGAAATAAACCAGAATCAAAAATATTAATTGGATACCTTCCGATCTTAAAAGCCATGGATTCTAAAACAAAAAACTCTGATAAATTCTGAATGGCCCAAAGAGAAGTCTTCCAAAAGTGTTTGTCGACTCTTTTCAAGCCTATTGTTGAAGAGCCTGAGCTTCACTTTGTCATGCATGGAGATATAATTACTTTTATTCCATGTATATCTATAATTATTGCGGACATGGTTGAAGCCGATAAGTTTACAAACATTTATCAACCATCCTCCTCAAGACGGCTATGTGCAAAGTGCTTGGTTTCAAGAGATGACTTGAATAATACAAATTTAATGGAAATAATTCCAAGAACTTCAGATACTATGAAACAAGCGATTAATAGCAGAAAAGATTAGTATTATTCAATTCATCCTAAAAAAAATGCATTTTGGGAAATAAAGTATAGTTACAGGTTGAATTAATTCATACCGTGCACCTAGTGTCTGAAATTGGGTTGCAGACCACATACTATTTATAAGTTTCCACAACTAAAATCTGAAATGCATATGCGGTTCTGCAAATAAAATTTCTGAATTTGCATATAGATATGTTTGAATTTGCATATAGAAATGTTCATATGTGCAACTAAATTCATATAATCCGCAAATAGATTTGTTATTTAGTTGTGGGTCCACAACTAAATTAAAAATTAAATTTTAGACACTGCTATGTACATACCGGAAGACAAGTTTTTTGTTATATATGCGGTAGACTATTATAGATCTGCCAAATAACTAGATTAATATTGGTAACATAACAGTAAAACATTAGATATCCCGATATCTTCTCTTAGTACTCTTAGTACTAAAAGTAAGATATCGAAATATTCTAATATTTTGCTGTTATTAACGATACAATTTAGGAATTTGGCAGCTCTATAGTAGACTACTATATAAATATAACAGGATACTTATCTCCTGGTATGTACTAATATATATCAATTAACCTGTGAATATTTTAGTTTATTATTATCATATTTTTGTACTAAAAATATAAATTGTTATAAATAATACATAAAAATTTTAGAAACTTTAATATATATGAAGCTATTGTACCTGATCGAATGTATACTTTGGATCTTGGTCTCTTCAAGTATATGCTTGATTATACAAAAAAACTCTTATATAACTAATATGGGGCCAAGTGTTTCAAACTTTTGAACAGCGATTAATATCGATTTCACGATACCGTGGGCTTAAAATAATAAAGAACATATCAGATATAACATGTACCATAGCCAATGAACTGCAAAATATAATAAAAATAATAATTTTCGCTCTCGATAACCTATATAATGGTCATAAGAAGCCAGGAATTAGTAATAAATGGTTATGCCAAGTTTATTACAAATTCCTTAAAATATATATTGCTACCTATGAAGAATCGTTTAATAATGATTCTTGTAACCAGCTTCAGGTATAATATAAAACCTTGGCTTTTTAAAAATATCAATTGCTAACGAATAATTTTACAGAACTTCATTTTGGATTAGGTCAAAGAATTCGTTGAAATATTTTTAAAATACAACACAACTGGTTTTCAGCTTCCAAAACTTCACTCTTGGTGCTATCATATAGTACCTGTAGTTGAAGAATATAGATCTATAAATAGTATGACCATGGAGATTTACGAAACTCTTTATAAGAATTACTTAAAAATTCCCTATCGCATGTCTAATAAAAAAGACTATATGAAACAAATATTAAAAACTATAAGTTATTAATATAGAAAATATTGCTAATAATCGTTATTAATCGCTAATATCATTGTTAATAGGTTAAACACTAGAAACTAACTGAAAAGGGAGCTCAAAAAAAATATTGTAAAGCAAAAGAGTTTGAAAAATTTTTGTGGTTATTAAGTTTAGAGAAGCTAAATGATTTCTTTGAGAATAACAAAAATAATAGTCCTTTTACAAATTGAAGGTTTTTAAAATTTACTAACCGGTCTTGATGAATTTTTTGAGGAAGAATCAGTTATATCTATTAACGATGATAATCGTATGGAGTTGTTTTCTTCTGCTTCTTTAGAAAGTACAGATATAATTCGAGCTACATCAAGTTTTCATGGAAGTCCAATGTTTTCAAATATTATTATTAATAGCAATGACAGAAAAGAAGAAATTAAGTGATATGGCTTGGTAAGTATCAATATATTAATAAGTTATTTTATTAATGCATATCTACAATAAAAGCAATAAAAACATTTATAAGAGTAATAACTCTCAAAGCTAGACAATATTTTCATTTACGTCTAACTTTGAAAGTAACATAATTAATAAAATATTATCTATCAAGGTACTACTAATATTCAAGTTTTGTCAAGCAAATAAAGAGCCACTTGAGTTTGCTTTAGTCTGTTGGTACGAGGAAGATAGTGAATTATGAG